CTCTCAGAGTGTTTACATGTGTGTCCACCCAAGTAACACCACCCAGATCCAGACACAGAACTTTAGGGGGCTTCCTCCTTTGTTCTTGTGAGCATTTCCCAATAGTCCCTGCCGTGCTGCCCCTTCTCCCCATAGGAGACCCTTGCTTGGTATTGCATTAACCCTGAATTCCTCTTGTTCTCCTCGCCTGGGCAGTTCACTCGATAAAGTAACATTTGCTCCTGTGATAGCAGCACTTATGTGCTTGGCCTGTGTTTATACCTCCCTCCATATTGCTGTCTAGCCTTCCATGGTTGTGAGTTCTCTGTTTAGCTGGATTTTAAGCTTCTTAAGGACAGGGATTGCCCACAAGTCAAACACATTCCTATACACATACTAGAGCCTCAGCAAACATTTCTAGAATGAACGCTGATGTTGAATGAATGGGGAGTACGGTGAGGAAAAGTAGTATGCAGTCAGATCAAGATACATGCTTCTCTCTTCATTCTCTATACACTTCCAGTTTATTATTACTGAATACACTTCATACAATATTGGGAGTGTGCATTGCTCTTTTAAAACAATATTTTATTTATTTTTTTGAGAGGTAGAGTTACAGACAGAGAGAGGGAGAGACAGAGAGAAAGGTCTTTCATCCACTGGTTCATTCCCCAAATGGTCCCAATGGCCGGAGCAGATCTGAAGCCAGGAGTCAGGAGTCTCCTCTGGATCTCCCACATGGGTGCAGGGGCACAAGCACTTGGGCCATCTTCTACTGCTTTCCCAGGCCATTAGCAGGGAGCTGGATGGGAAGAGGAGCAGCTGGGATACAAACCAGTGCCCACGTGGGATGCCGGTGCCGCAGGCAGAGGCTTAGCCTACTATGCCACAGCCCTGGCCCCTATGCATTGCTTTTTGCTTGTGGGAGATCATGTGTGCATTTGACTTTCAGGTTCCATTGTGGATAGAGGGGGTAGGAATAGATTCCAAGAATAAAGTGCAGGAGAAGAAAAGTTTAGATGGCCAAGTCAAGGAGAAAGAACTCCAAGTTTTGGTGTTTGCTCTGCCATTAACTTGTGTGATCTTGTGCCAAGTCTCTCGCTTTTCTGAGCCCCCATTTGTCAGTGGTCCAACAGAAGTAATAATTTTGGACACTTCACATTCCACAGGAGGTCAAGTGAGCTCATTGTAGGGAATGTACTTTGACCCAAAGAATTTAGGACATTGTCTCCACAGGCAGAGAGGTGGCTCATATCATCAAGCCAGGTAGAACAGCCTTCTGGTTTTAAGATTCAAACAAGTGGCCGGCGCCGTGGCTCACTAGGCTAATCCTCCACCTTGCAGTGCCGGCACACCAGGTTCTAGTCTCGGTCGGGGCGCCGGATTCTGTCCTGGTTGCCCCTCTTCCAGGCCAGCTCTCTGCTATGGCCCAGGAGTGCAGTGGAGGATGGCCCAAGTGCTTGGGCCCTGCACCCCATGGGAGACCAGGAGAAGCAGCTGGCTCCTGCCATCGGATCAGCGCGGTGCGCAGGCCGCAGCGGTCATTGGAGGGTGAACCAACGGCCAAAAGGAAGACCTTTCTCTCTGTCTCTCTCTCTCTCACTGTCCACTCTGCCTGTCAAAAAAAAAAAAAAAAGATTCAACTACAACTGGGATGAAAAGATAGGATGGTTGACTTCATAGCATCATCAAGTTTAGAGCCAGCAAGTATCTTAGAAATTATCTCTAGTCCCACCCCCTCATTGTGCCTTGGGTCCAATGAAGCATGGAGGAAGAGATGATTTTCCCCCAAGGTAAAACTGATCCTGGATTCCAGGTTCCCTTTTCACTACGCACTTCAAAGCTCTACTTAACAAAGCAAAGTTCATTTGCTCTTGTTAATGTTTGGACACAATAATACCCAGCAAAGAAATGATCAGGACATTTGTGTGAAGCTTCTTTTGTTTCTAAAATTTGACACACAATTTTAGCTCAGTATTGCTTGTTTTTGTTTTTGTTTTCTTTTGGCCTAAGGGGACAATAATCCTCCTATTGTTTATTTAGTATCTTAATACTAAATCTAGGTGCTGCCTGGTGGTGGGGTTAGAAAAGATTAAGATTCATCCCCTGCTCTCAAGGAGCCAGATGTGGGAGACAGGACTCACAGTGAGAGAACAATGGAAGGCAGTATGTGATTCAGAATAAAATGACTAGTACAAGCAATAAATGCTATAGAAGGTTGAGAGGTGGGAGAGAGTGCTGGGAGCTGGTGGGAGCTGGAATTGTTGGGGAGAGTGTGATTTTGTGTGGGCTTTGAAGGATGGGTGTGACTGTTCACGCAGAGGTGGAGGAGGGGACTGAATTTGAATGTGGGTGTTTGTGTGTGTGCACACACGTGCAAATGCAGAGATGGGTAACAACAGGTAGCATTTAGTGGGTACTTTCTATGTACCAGATACTACATAATGTTCCAGAAAATTCAGCTTTTTGAATATAACGCTTCAAGAAAATTCAGCTCTTTGAGCATAACCTTATGAAGTAGCTATCGTATCTTTCAACTAATAGAGGAAGAAAATGAGGCACAGAGAGGCTGAGTAAATTACCCAAGATGACACAGCAAGTACATGGCATAAACAGAACCCAGATCCTGAAAGTGCTTTGATATTATACCCCTGAAAGACAGGAATCTATGGCTCAGGTGAGGAAATTGGCCTGGCTACAGTCATTAAAGATGCACATTTTGCAAGCACGGGACAGGCTAGGATAGGCCCTTTGATGGGCCTGGGTGCTGCATGCCATTGCCAGTAGCACCACAGCTTTGTCCTTCATACTCCTTGGTTGTGTTGCTGGGAATTTAACCAAATGCCAGAGAAGAAGAACCAGCGAGCCTCTTTGGTGTTGTTCTTTATTAATCACCACTTTAAAGCATCAGGACTACGCCAGATGCCATCCACAGCCTGGAGTCAGACAAGACTACCTGGCTATATTTGTCGGGAGAGACAGACTTGGAAAGGATGGGAGGGCACTAACTTGATAATACAGTAGATTGTATTGTACGTTTGGAGCCTGGCTTGCTGCCAACATCCAAAAGTGTTTTCTAGGCAAGGTGCCTAACTGTGTTTTTGTGGCTATTCTTCTAATTCACTGTGACTCTTCAGTACATATTAAATCAACGTGGGGGTAGATTCTGAGAAGGTCTTTTCCAGTCTCCTTGTCCTAAGGAGAGCAAACACAGTGGGTAGATAGAAAGCAGCAGGGAAGAGGGGAACCAGTTTCAATCAGCTGCGTGCTCATATCCAGTTTGGGGCTCAGACTTGCTTGTGCACGTGACAGCGTCCTGGCTGATCCTTTCTCTGGGCGGATAGGAAGCAGCAGGAGGGGTTAAGAGGTCAGGGGTCACTCCTTTCCCTCTCGCTGCTCTACGCTGAGGGCTTGTCCGGAGCCGGGGAGAAGGAAGGGGTGGGCTGTGTGGCTGGAGGTGGGAAGGAAAATCCCGGATCGGAGCACGAGGGGGAAGAGCAGGGGTAAGAAGGCTGGGCCCTGTGCGCTCAAGTGGGGAACGCGCTGTGAGGGCAGACGCTGCCTTCCTGGTCCTGCGTGAGTGTCCGGCTAGGTGGCCGCCAGGAGGACCGGCGAAGAGGAGAAGGTCGTACGCAGCCAGCCCCGGCTTGCGAGCCATGCCCGCCTGCGCGGCCGCTCCTCGCTAGACAGGCTTATTCATTTCGCCAAGAAGTTAGCGAGGGCCCGCTAAGTGCCGGCTCTGGTTTCCAGGGTACAGAGACGCGCCCCGGGAGGAGCAGGGCAGTCACAGAGGCGGAGTCCGCCCGCCGAGCTCGGCCGAGGAGGCGAATTCCGCACGCGGTAGTGAAGGAGGGTGTCTGTGCACGCGTGCAGGCTCCGCGAGTGCAGAAGACGAGGCAGGCCGGGCAGGAGGAGGAAGGAGGCGGAGACTGCGCCGGGGGAGGGAGGCTGGGAGGTGTGAATGGTGGACGCGGTGGTGGTGGTGGGGAGCGCAAGAGGCCGCGCAGGGAGGCAGGCGAAGGGGGTAGTGGTGGCCCCAGG